CTATTCAACGAAAGGAGACTGCGAGCACACAAAAGACTACACCATCTTGGTCTTTATACCTTCGAGTAAAAATTGTGAGGTTTAATTCCGGAGCAAGACAGTAATTTGTAGAATAAGTTACTATTAGCTTCTATTTTGTAATTGATTAAGCTTTAGCGTCAATGGATAACTGGGAAAGCCAGACAAAAATATGGAGTTTTTCCTGTACTGCAGCCTCAAATGAATCCTCTTCTAAAATGCGTCCAGGTCAGAAACAGTACCGGTAATGTGCAAGTTCCTAGGGGTCACCTGAGGTTCCTGGCCTCTGAATAATCCACTTTTCAATAGACTTGTTTTTTAAAAAGCCATATCATGCACTTCTAGGGTCATCCAAAGTGAAGCTGAGCTTAGAAGTATTCATTTATAAATTTATTTTTTCATATCTTTTACATCGCTTGTGTTCTTGGTGAATTTTGGTAAAAGCTAGTTTCACACTATGAAAATATCTGTCACACAGCGGATGAGAGTTCAGCCTGGATGCATCGGAGTCGAATGGCGCCGCACGATTACTTCTTTGCAAGAATCCATTTTGTCAATCCTTTCTAGCCGTCTTTCCAAACGAAAGAAACGATGCGAAAGCATCGCATAGGATAGCCAGAAAGTTTGCTGGGCCTGTGCGGTCGGCTCCTTTGTCTGAGGCCAACTGATCGCATGAAGAGTGAGCTGTCTCAATCGTACGCACACCCAGACCCCAATAAAAGAGCACATTGTGTATGTGAACTGGGGCCCGGGGTCTGGCAGATTGCATAGAATGCCTATCTTCTGACATAAAGTGCACCGAGAGTCGTCTGCCCCTAGACTTTCGCCCAAGATTGTATAGAAGGCCTCATGGTCAACGGGTCTACCTGGTTGCTTGGTGACCCTTCTGCTGTCTCCGAGCGAAAGCAATTCGCGCCAGCAAAGTGACAGGCCACTGGCCACTGGCACTCGAAAAATGGACCGACCTGCGTTCGGTACAGACGCGAAAATAAAAGAGGCAGATGTTTGAGAAGGCAATCTGAACTGCATGCTTCAGCAGGCCTGCTTTCACTGGCCAAAAGTATCAATCAAATCCCATCAAGGGACTCGAGCTCAGCGCTTACCAATTGGTGCCCAACCGCGATGTGGGCCTCAACCAAGCAGGGTTGAGAAAAAGGTTGACTGTTGCGTCATCATAAAAGTGAATAATTTCGGACATTCACAGGCGAGAAGGCAATCGGAATCTTGTCCTATGGGTTAGCATTGCGGGTAATTTAGCGACGAGTTAAACATCACCTTTTGCCCTCCCCCCTCCTGTATGATGTAGAGGTGAAGTCATAAAACAACTCTTAGACGCTGGGTTTCTTGCATTCCAGCAGGCTGAATGTGTGCATGTCCTCCACTCAAATGCAGGTTGCAAGCGGTCATCTTTAGAGCGTATCATGTTTCCATTTGGTGCATAGAACAATAAACTTGGACCGACAAGTAGCTTTACACCTGTGTACGTTCATTCTGAGGGATGCTATTTGAGTGAACTTTGGAAGAAGATGTTTCGCATTCTCGAACATGCCTTTGGCACACCTTTACGCAGCCTCTTTTATGTCGCCGATTTGCATCTTCCCACAGGCCTCCTCCTCCCACTCCTCCTCTTTCTCGGCCTCCATGCCCCGATTTGGACCCTGCTCATCTCGTCCGATCTTACATGCCGTCGTGGCTGGACTTATTTGCTCAATCATCTACACGCAATTTTGGTCGTCCAATGCTTTTTGACCATCCTTTTGTCGGATTCCATGAGGTTTCGGTGTTAACCATAAATGTGTGAAGAACACGGGCTAAGTTACAACAAGCCCTGGCCACTGTGACATAATCAGTGAAGATCTGTGAAGGAGTAAGCGATTTGTCCACATTCAACGGATCCATGATTCACCTGCCAAATAACGCAATGCTGGTACAAGTGCTGTGGACGCATAATGGAGGGAGGGAGAGCTAGTGATAGCTGAAGGACGGTTTAGAAGGGGAGAAAAAGAGAGAGAGGGGGGGGGGCACCACCAAAGTCAGGAGGAGGTAGAGCCATACCCTAATTGGCGTGAAGCTGAACCAACGATGCAACCAAGGCCATTTGGACAAACGACAAGATTGTCGTACCAAGACCGGCAGGACGACGTCTGCTCTCGCCCCCTTCGGTCTCAGTGGCCTTGAACTGGCTCATGCCAATCATACATTTGCTTTTATCGCAAGCCTTGCATTAAATTGACTTTAAGCAAGCATGTGCATAAGGATCCTTCTGCACTTCCTCCAGTTCTGGGCCAATATGCTCAAAAGCGCACACACGTACACACACGTTCGCACACTTGAGGCTCATCCTCAGTCCTTTGTGGGCCTATACACACACACACACACACAGTCACACACCTATGGCAACAAACAAGTATGATGCACACCTGCCTGAGGGAAGGAGATGAGCTCAAGTCCGGTGAACGGCGTGTACAGAGCACAGAAAGCCCAAGTCAAAGTGTACTCGTCCTCTCTTCTCTTCGGAAAGGTATTTGAACAGTGTAGCACAGGCTGACTGTGGCCGGGCTAGCCGGGTAAATAACTGGGAAAATGTGTGTGTGTGTATATATATATATATATATG